GGATCCTGAGGTGTGAGACACTCGGGGGTCTCTCCTGCAGGCCGTGTGGTTGGCTTGGCTCTCTCTGTGTCGCTGGCAGCTGCTGATGCCCATCGCCTTCTCCCGTAAGGGGTTGCCAGCCGTCCACGTGCCACCTGGGCTTTCTTCTTCACTTATTAGATGTATTAGTTCTGTTCAGAGAAACCTCCCTCTGCCACAGTGGAGCTCTTATGGGGAAGTCAGAATAAAGTGTTGGTTTCCCTTGTTTTGCTTCTAGTTTCCGAGACAGTGGGTGTTCCCTGTCCCGCTCCAGCAGTGGCCGGTCAGTGGTGGCATTTATGTGACTTGCTGTTTATGGATTTAAGTTACTTGCTGTTTCAGACTATTGTAGTTACAACAGGTGGGACAGTTGTGTGTCACTGGCCAGGGGAAGGCACTTCAGTTGGTTCCTGAGCCTTTTGATGTGACCTTGGAAGCCTCTGACACTTGTTCCCTGGCATGGCACATTGTTCCAGGGTCATCTTGGACTTTCTTGCCTCAGACCCCTCTGAACCATTTCTCCAAGGTGCCCTTAGCTCTTTTTATGTCTGAAGTGAGGCTTGGGGATCACAGTGTGGGTGTCAGGGGTGCTCATGGCTCCCAGGGGGTGACTGCTTCTAAGCCTTCCCATTGTCCTGGTTACACCTTAGGATAGTATTTTTCTGCGAGACACAGGATGCTCGCCTACGTTATCAGTCTTGGAAACAGCAGTTAGGGGTCCTGGAAATGCTGGCCTAATTCAGATGCTGCTGCTGCCTGGAGGAATCTTATTTTACCAGCTGATTGACAGTGTCACCTCTACCTCACAGCGAGTGCCTCCTTCTCTTGTGAGAGCCCTATAGAGTGCATCTTTTGGATGCTCTTTCCTTGGGCCAGAAGAAAGTTCTAACCTCTCACCTCAACAGACAGCTACCCGGCGACCTGGGAGCCTCTGCTCCTCCTTGGTGAGGAGCTGGAGCTAGAATGCCCTTCATTTGTGCCTTCTGAGGTGTTGCCTTCCTGTCTGTCGATTGTGGCCGACGTCTGCCTGCTCATGAGCGCCTCATCGTTTTCAGAGTTACGCTGGACCTCTGCTGAGCACAGGAGGACCTTGGCACAGCTTGCCTTCCCAGAAGGCCCCGCTGTCCCATCCAATCCCATGTAGCTTTCGGGGCCTTTGGAGACCTCCATTTTCCCTCAGTTACACCAGTGACCATCCCTGGAGACCAGAGTGCTCCTTCTGCTGGAAGCCCTGCGTCTGGACTTCCGGTTGTGGACTGCAGGCTGTGTGGGGCAAAGGTGAGAGCTCTGGGCCAGGCCCAGGCTCCTGAGGGGAGCAGTGCCTCCTCATTAGCAAGCATCCTTCTCAAAACAGATTGCAAGCGACTGTTAGGCCCCCACGGAGGAGGAGTGAATGTGCCCTCTGGAGAGCGGAGCATTGAGCATACGCTCGGGAGACGTGATGTCATTGGCAGCCTGGGCAGCCGTGAAGGCCCCTGGAACAGCCCAAGCAGTGAACTCAGACTCTTGGGGAACGGCCCAGGGTCCCTTACTGCTAGGGACCCCACTGCACACAGCACTGACTGCACCACAGAGCAGGCACTCGGTGAATACCAGTTGCATGCTTGAGTGCAGACCCCAGCATGTGCACCTGCTACCTGGAGGTGCACATACTCTTTAGACCCCAGAAAGAAGGCGGCACCAGGTGTCCAAGCACGATGGCCACTGCCAGAGAACCCAGCAGCCTGCTGTTGAGATCTCAGCCTAGACCCTCAACCCATCCCTGGGCCTGCTAAGAAAAGAAGCTGTCCTTCAATCAGGGGGGCCTCTCCTCCTGCCCTCAGTCTCAAGAAGGTTCTGGATCTTGTGCTGGCAGCTGAGGGAAGAGCTGGCCGCCCTGGAGCTCCGTCAGTGGAGCTGTGGCGGGATGGTGGCCCGGGGGGTGGTCTGCTGCCTCATAGGTCCTCTTCAAGGCTGACATGGGGTGTGTGGGTCCTGGTGACTGAGACGTTACCTCATTCACAAAGTCAAGCCAGCTGGTCGCCACGCGAGCAGTGGGATTAACAGGGAAACCCTTCCAGCAATGGTCGACTCCGTGAGCACAGCAGAGAAGACCCTTGTCACCTGCCTCAGCTGTGGGTGAAGAAGGAGTTCAGAAGCCAGTCCTGGAACTGCAGGAGCAGGCTGGGGCTGAGCAGGCGGGTCCTGGGGCATGAGAACCACCAGAGGGTCCGGCATCCTGCGTAGCCCAAGAGCACAAACCACGAGGGTGTCTGTGGGCCGTCTGCCGTCTCTGCCACACGTCATCAGCTGGTTTTCACTTCCGAAGCATTTTACCTACGGTGGTCTTGGGCTATTAGATGAATTATTTTTGCGTCCATAGTTGACTAAATCCTTGGCAAGATGCCAGCCCCCTGGGGGTCACTGAAGACAGAAGCAGAGCCAGGGGATTCTCGTGTGAGACACGCACCAGCCTCTTTCTGAGTAGACAAAACGCATTTTGATTGAATTAAAGTTTTATATTTTTTAAAGAACAGACATAGGAAGACAATAACATCCAGGGCCGTCAGTCAGCTGCACACACCTCGCGGACTCTCCTGGTCTCAGCCCGCGGCAGGAGGATGGCTCTCTGCGAGTGAGGACGAGCGCGGTCACGGGGCACCACGGCCATTTGCTCTGTTCTTAGTCTCATCCCCCATCCTTTGAGCCGGGGGTTCTTCTGCTTCTGCTAGGACGAGTCAGGACCCGGCGCTCACCATGTCACTTCCAGCCTCAAATTCACCTCTCCCGCCTGCTCTGAGACCTGCTAGGATGTGGGCCCTGCCCACCAGCCAGCCTCTCTCCTCTGCCACATGGTGTCCCACACTCCCAGGCCAGAGTGCCTGGAGGGAGGGTGCCCTGCCCTGGAGACCTGTGCCGTCCTGTCCCTGAACGGTGTCCCCCACCCCAGCACTCCCCTGTCCATGCCATGGTGAGGCACATGTTCAGCTTCCAGGCCAGCAGGTCAGCGTCTTTGCCACCTGTCACTTTGCCTCTCAGAGACCACTGAGGGACAGAGCCTGTTTTCTCGCCTGCAGCCCAGACTAACTGCACCCTCTGTGAGGCACTGTCAGGTGCCCAGGCTCTGTGCGAACAGCCCCAGTGGGACAGGCTGGTCCACCAGGAAAACGGCTGCCCCGCCTCTTCTGGGTGAGGGGCCCTGGCTCTGTCTCCATGAGCTCTCCAGCTGATTCTCATCTTGACCAAAGAGCAGCTTAGTGGGATGAGCTTAGGAACTAGATCGTCCCTGGGCCAGCTGGGTGAGGCCCAGAGCCTGTGGGGAGAGGAAGGCTGGTGGCACGAGAAGCCGATGGTGCCTAGGCACATCCAGCCTCTGCTAGCCTGCTGACTGACCCTGGCTGGGCTTTGTTATCAGCCAGACACTTGGTTTTATTTCAGATCTCCCAACTCCCGACGGGGTTGTGTCCTGACAGACCCACCATTGCATGAAAACACCGTAAGCTGGGACACCTTGGCTTAATGGCACGGCATGCTAGAGTGCTGTTGTCACAGCTGCCTCATGTCCCAAGGGAGCCTCAAGGCACATAGCGTCAGCCCCAGCAAAGATTAAAATTCCAAGAGTGGTCTTTACTGGACACTTAGCACTTTCTCACCATCTGTGATAGTGGTGGCTTCTGTATTCCCCAGAAGCCCCAGGGTTGAAGGCTGGTCCCAGCTGATGGTGGTGCTGGGAGCTGGGGAGTCTTCAGGAGGCAGGCCTGGTGGGCGGAGGCTGGGTTGTTGGAGGCAGGCCCTTGAGGGGATGTGGGGACCCGCTTGCTCCTCTCCCTCTTTGCTTCCTGGCTGCCAAGAGGTGAGCAGCTTTGCTTCACCACACACTCCACCATGATGATATGTCTCACCACAGGCCCAAAACAGCAGCCAAGAGACCATGGACTAAAACCCCTGAAACCACGAGCCAAGATAAATCCTTCCTCCTTTTAGTCATCTCAGGTGTCTGAAAGCCATCAGAAAGCCAACTAGCGTGACATTAGAACTTAGAAAAGCCACAGAGTGCGTCCGTCATAAGTGGAGACCATCTGAATTATGAGTCTCCTGCAGCCGCCGTGGGAGTGGAGAGACCCCACGGCCCTCCGTTCCATTCTGGGCATCTGTGTGGCTCCAGGTTACCACCACTGACATTGCTCTGCCTTGTGTCCTTCCCTTGGCCCCTGCTGAGGACCCGTCTCCCGGCCTAGTGCTGTCCCTGTGTGACCTGGGTCTTCCTCCCCTTGCAAAGCGCTCAGCGTGCTCATTTGCCGGCCAGGAGGCCAAGTCACGGTGAGCTCCTTCCCTGTCACCTGGCACAGCAGCTAGCCTGATGGGCAAGGCTTTCCACGGCAGGAACTGCGGCAAAGAAGGCGCCAAGGATGGCCCCTGGGAAGAGAGGCGGGAAGGGCTGGGAAGAGCCTTTTCGGTCACCAAGGAGGCCATGGGCAGAGCAGCCCTAGAAGGAGTCAGTCTCCATCCTGCGTGGCTGGGAAGGGGTGACAGGGAAGGGTTCTGTGAGACTGCATAAACTTATATTTTAAAAGTGTACAAGAGGGCTGGGGATGTGGCTCAAGCGGTAGTGCGCTCGCCTGGCATGCGTGGGGCGCTGGGTTCAATCCTCAGCACCACATAAAAATAAAATGAAGATGTTGTGTCCACCAAAAACTGAAAAATAAATACTAAAAAATTCTCTCTCTCTCTCTCTCTCTCTCTCTCTCTCTCTCTCTCTCTCTAAAAAAAAAGTGTACAAGAAGATTTTATAAGTTGTTACCAGGCTCTATAATTTGGTCAGGTGTGGATTTTTCTAGGGTAACTTCAGAATTGGTTCAGGACTCGTTCAAAAACAAATCCTTCTCTTTGAAATAATCCACGGGGCTGTTTGGCCTCGGTCTCTGCTGGTGCTGGCGTTGTTCCTTCTGGTGAACTGAGTGCTTGCTGTGACACTTGCCCTCTCCTCTGTCCTGCTCCTGCAGATGGGAACTTCTTAGCCATCGGCTCTCATGACAACTGCATCTACATCTACGGAGTCGGGGACAACGGGAGGAAGTACGCGCGGGTTGGCAAGTGCTCGGTAGGTACACGCGTCTCGCCGACAGGAGCGCGGCATTCCCATGCCACATGCTGCCAGGCAGGGTGTGTGCCAGCGTGCCACTCATCAGCTGTCCTCCCCAGGGTCACTCCAGTTTCATCACCCACCTGGACTGGTCTGCAGACTCTCAGTACCTCGTGTCCAACTCCGGGGACTACGAAATCCTTTACTGTGAGTAACAACCCAGGAGGTATCCATATCTAGGTCACATGGGACGGTCGCAGTGAGACCAAATGGGCCCACAGGGCTCAAGCCTATGGTGTCCTCCCCGGGCCTCGGTTTCCTCCTCTGTAAGATGGAGGAGTTGCACAACCTCCCTGACCTTCCCGGTGCTGAGACACAGGGTTCAGGCTGGCATGGGCTGTCTCTAGGAGGAGAGGCTGGGCCCTGCTGGAGAGGCTGAGTTGGGCAGTTGTGGGATGAGAATGGGGTCTGCAGCTGTCACAGCAAGAGTGGCCCTGGTAAAGGTGTCACCCAAAGCAGGTGGGTGCCACAAAGTCCCCAGGACCTCCTCCTCCTCCTTTCCCAGCCTCCACCTGGACAGACCTAGGGATGGGTGATAAAGGGTGGCACTTACTGAGCACCTAGGACCTGCCATGCACTAACTCCTCAGACACTACCTGGCCCCTGCTCTGGGCTAAGCAGAGGAGATCATGGAGTGTGAGGAAGGCCTGGCCTCCACCCCACTGGAAAGCAGCTGGAAAGTTCAGTGTCATTACCTACATTTCCTCCTGATCCACAGCACTTTCTGGCTCATCCCTTTCACAGAGAGGAGATTGGGGCTCAGGTACGGGCCGTGGGCCCAGAGCTGGTGGGTGGGGAGGAGGTCACGCCACCCGGGCGTGTTGGCCTCTTGTTGAGCCAGGACAGGCAGGCACTGGGCAAGCAGCACTACAGGCCTGAGCCTCCCCCACCTGGTCCCCCAGCTCCTTCCCCAGGTCCTGCCCAACACAGGCACAGGGGCAGGTGCTGGTTTGGGGGGACGGTCTCTGGGTCTAAAACCTTCTCAGACACTCTCATTCCCCAGTGGTCAGAGCTCATCTGAGGGACAGTTACGTCACCTGGGAGTCTCTGGGCTCTTGGGGAGACTGGTTTCCATTTGTTTCCAGTTCCAACTTGGAGCCCCAGGTGCTGGGGCTGTTGGAGTGTGTTAGGGAGGGCTGGGCAGCCCGACCCCAGAGGCAGGGTGGGGTTCAGGTCTCCAGAGGGGTCCTGGGCAGCAGAGGCCTGAGGACCAGAAAAGCCAGACTGTGGGAATAGACTTGGGGGAGGAGATGGGAAGAAAACAAAGAAGAGGCCTACACTGAGCCTGGAACTTGGTCTCTATTCCCAGACAGTCCCCATGGGGTGGACGTGGGGGTGTCCCCTGCTGGGGCGCAGCCCTGAGGACTCAGGCTTACCCAGGGAGAGCTGGGGGCTTGGATTAAGTGTCATCAGACCATTGGCCTTTTCCAGGGGTCCCCTCTGCTTGCAAGCAAGTCGTAAGTGTGGAGACTACGAGAGACATTGAGTGGGCTACGTATACCTGCACTTTGGGATTCCATGTCTTTGGTAAGTTCTGCAGGTGTTTGAACACAAGACGTGTCTACTTTTAGGATATTTTTTAATAGTTATGAAGCCTCATAGTCTCCAGTCTTGTCAAATTGCTCGGCTTCAGCGTGTGCCCCACCAGACACCCCTTCAGCTCCCTGGAAAGGGCCAGGGTGACCCGGCCATGTCCAGCTGGGCAGAGCTAGAGAAATGGGCTTTTACCCCTTTTCCATGATACAGAACAGGTGCTGAGATAGTTCTCTAGAATCTTCCGCATCAGGTTGTGCCAGACACACCTAAATGAACCACATGGCACTCACTCCTTGTTATTTGTTAGGGTTTGACATTTTTTGGTCCTTAAACTAAATACTGCACTTTTGTTTAAGTTCAGTTTAGGAATATATTCATGAGTATCCTAAAATAAATTGCCACAATTGAGTAGAAAAAAAGGAAAGGTGGTATTGTCATCTTTTTTGAGAGACCACGATTCTATAGATTGGTAAGAATTTACAGTCTCCTTGTTTCTATTGTTTTACCATTTTCTGGTGTTTAACACTAAGAGCCCTCTGTCTTCTCTAGAATGCCAGCTGAGAAGCCGACATGCACCTAGCTCTCTTATGCCCAAAGTTTCTGGAACCAAAAGGGTTTCCCAGACAATGGTGTCTGCCCACCACCTAGACACAGGGCTCTGGAGCCCTAGTCAGTGAGTGGCACCCACAGGCACCGCCTACCAGGCAGCCAGCAGACAAATGGCAGCCCTCAAAACCAGCACCAAGGAACATCTGGAAGGCACACAGGCCCAGGGCTAACCAGTCCTGGAAACTTTCACATGTAAAGAGTAACCCCCCCAAAAAAGGAAACTGTAACCTTGGGGACTAGTCAGCCTCCATCAGATGATCTGGGGAAAGGTGTTATGTCCAGAGGGGCCTTAGAGAGGTGGGCACCAGAAAGCCTGCCATTGGTCCCCACTCAGCACCGCAGGGCTGTGTGGAAGGGCTTCCTGAGACCAGCCCGAGTGGGTGAACCTGAAACCCGAGGAAAGGCCCCCCTCAGGCCAAGCCCCTGCCTCTGAAGCAGCGCCTCGAGGCAGCTCTGCGGTGGTGACACCCGGGGCCTGCTCCTGGCCCCCTGCCTCTCTGGTGTCTCAGTGCTGTCTGTGGTCTGTTTCAGGAGTGTGGCCGGAAGGCTCGGATGGAACTGACATCAACGCCGTCTGTCGGGCCCATGAGAAAAAACTGCTGTCAACGGGGGACGACTTCGGCAAAGTGCACCTCTTCTCCTACCCCTGCTCTCAGTTTAGGGTGAGGAGGTGTCCTCGCTAGTCTCCTCCCTCGCGGCCACCATGTAGATGTGACACTGCTCACGTCAGCTCTGAGCACCTGCGCAGCTCCCCACTGGAAAAACCGCAGGTCCACGGTCACCTGTGCAGCTTCTGCACCTCCTCCCTCTCCCACCCACGCTCCCTCTGCCCCAGCCCCGCTGAGCCCACCCCATGCCGGGAGCCCCCCACCTCCTGCAGCAAGGAGACCCTCCCTGCTGCCCCAGCAGCCAGTCAATCCTGCTTCTGGGTGGACCGCTCCCGGCGCCACCTTCTGATACTTGAGGTACCTCGGCCTAGGGCATCACTTGGCTCGTCCCCACCAGACCACAAGGACTCCATGGAGTTTGTGTCTGTGTCCCTCCTGTGTCCTGCAGCCCCAGCAGGTGCACGGATGAGAGCTTCTGCTTGAGGAAGAGCGTGACGGGGTCCAGGCGTGAACAAGGAATTCTGGTACTTTCTGATTCCACTCCTGCTTTGCAGTAAGCTTTTTTCTCTGTGTCATCGTTTCCAGGCTCCAAGCCACATATACGGCGGACATAGCAGCCACGTCACCAACGTCAACTTCCTCTGTGAAGACAGCCACCTCATCTCCACGGGCGGGAAGGACACGAGCATCATGCAGTGGCGAGTTGTGTAGGCCCTGCCGGAGCCATGGGAGCAGATTGCGCCCAGGAGACACAGATTCGCGTTCCACTTGGTCACTGTGATTTCTGTTTTGTCTAAAAATTCTTACAACCTCAGGAAAAGTATCCCTCTACCGGTTACCTTAGCTTAGGGAGTCCGCGAGCGCCCTGCCAGAGAGCGGTCCCCTTTCCGCTTTTCTTGTATAATATATAAAACTGTGCACATTGCATATAGAAAAGGTCCCAAGGTCTACGTGACCGTGGCATCAACAGAAGAAACTGGTGTCACTTTTCTATGAACTTTTCAAAAATGGTCACAGAATGCCTTTTAAAATATTGTACATAGTCTTCACTGTTCCACCATCTAGCTTGCTAAGTCCAGTATCAGTGATGACGAGGTACTGAACTTGACCGCCATTCACCAAATGGTCCTTGAGAAGAGTGAACACTGATTTTGCACAGATGGATTGGGAAATGCAAATATGAGACTTTCTTTGGTTACATTTTCTAAGATGTCGTTCTGGTCCCCCTTTGGGAGGCTGGTGATAGGGGGCTCGTTTCCTCTGTAGGCAGCCTGTGCTTCAGACCAACTGTCGCAGCAGGGCACACGGGCGCAAGAGTATGCGACTTAGACTGTCGTCCTGGCCACTCGCAGTCGGCCCCTGAGCACCTCTGTGAACCACAGCCCCTCTGCTCCCGCTCACATACCCTGATCAGCGGCAAGACGCTCGGCCGCCTTCCCTTGTGTGTTAACTGGCATGATATGGTGTTGTACTTGTGTAGGATGCTAGCAGCTCATGACAGACCCTCAAGGCTAGTTCCACTGCTTTACGCTTACGGACATTGTACATTTGTATTTTACGATCAAGTAGACCAAGCCGAGGAGGAATCTCCTCCGTGTCCCATCAACCCGAGGGGAGACGTCTCAGAAGGCTCCAGGCACGAAGGCGGCTTCTTCTGTCTTTTGTGCGTGGCTGGCTCCCAACAGTATGGAGTAAGACCGTGTCCTGATGAGTAAGACGCAGGTGGTATCAATCTGTCGAGAAGGCCTTATCCATTGTGGGACAGATTGAAATTCATTGTTTACATTGGGGAATATATCTTGGATTTTTAAATAGAAGAGTAATAAACCAACTTGAGAACAAATATTAAGATTTTTACTCATTCTAGGCAAGTGAGTGAATTGCGTCATCTGAATGTCACGGCACTGGATGTTTTCAGTGGCTGATTAGGTGTGACGTTTGGAAATAGTCTTCGTGACATCTCCAGCCTGCCATGGCAGTGCAGGCACCTGTAAGCAACATGTATTAAAGATGACTGTTTGTATTATCCTTATCAAATATATTCTATAATGAAATAAAACTTGAAAAGTGGATTTCTTATTGACCTATATTCGTGAAAGTATATACATTAAAATATTTAAAATCAGATGCGATTCATACTATATTCTGTTTCACATACAGATTGTCTTCACCTGGGTCGTTTGCAGACAGAACTGTTTTTTCCTATGGAGGGGAAGCATTCATCAGATGAGATGGCTCTGGAGAATGTGGCTCGATCACAAGCCCATTGTTAGTTCCCTTTGTTATGCAAACACTGGTGAAAAGCAATTAGTCCTAAATGGATAATTGAAGGAATAATGAGCTATAAGGATGGGAAAGAGATCCATTATGGACTTGAAACTCAAAATGTGGCATATATACACACACTAGGATTTTGTGTATAGATTCATATGCTGTTTTATTAATTATGAAGATAGCTATAGTAGTTTTACATCTAGTAATATAGGCAATTATGAAATAGTACTGTGGCTGGATGATGCGCTAGGAACCTTGCAGATGGTGGTTGCTCTCCGGCTCATGGTGAGCAATGACTGCTTCCCACCACTTATCACCCCTCAGGCAAGCAAGGCCTAGAGCCTTTGGGATTCTTCTGGAGCAAGAGGCTCCAGGAAATGGGCAGCTGCTGGCCTGTGAGGCCAAGTCGTCTTGCTCTCAGGAGCCTGTGGCCCTATATTAGCTCTTAGCCTGGCTTCCCTGCCACATGTGAGACAGGGAAGTAAAGCGTGCTGTTTAATTGTAGATACAATAGGTAAGTTTGTTCGCATAAGAACATTCCCAAGTGAAAAAAGATCCTAAGGGATTTTTTCTCCCAGCACTAGGGGTTGAACCCAGGGCCTCATGCACGCCAGGCAAGTGCTCTCCCACTGAGCTACACCCCCAACCCTTTTGATTTTGAGACAGGGCTCTCACTAAAGTGCCCAAGATGACTTTGAACTTGAGATCCTTCTGCTGCAGCCTCCCAAGTAGCCGAGGTTACAGGCGTGAGCCACTGCCTTGGCTGCATTTACAGATTTTAACATCTGTGATTTCCACTGTGTGGTGCGCCCCAGCAGTGGGGTAGGAGGAGGCTACCTTGGGCAGGGGCTGTCTGGGTTCACTGAACGGTCAGATTCCATCCTTCAGCTCGTCGTTCTGTGATTGGGAGCAGGCTGCCGTCACTCCAGCTCACAGGCAGAACTCACAGAAGTGCCACGTGACCTTCTGGCCTCTGTCTGGGAGGCATTTGCCAGGCAAAGCCAGCTGAGAAGCCTGCACTTTGACTAGGCCCATCCTTCCAGTAGGTTCTCTCCCTCCATTCTTTTAACTCTATAGAGAATTTCAAACACCCAAAAGTGGAGAGAGAGTTACCCAACTTCTAAGATCCTGGACACTTAGAAATTCTCATCACCTGCTGGAGCATTTTAAAAGAAAATTCCAGCCCCTGTGTCGTTTCACCTGTGAATACTTGTCTGCTGCTCTGATGAGGACCTGCATGGACCTCCATGACGTCATCACGGCTGACAGAAGTCTCGATGGCGTCAGTGCCTAGGTTTGTTAAACCCGCCCACATCTCAATGCCAGGCACCACCTGGACACGAGCCACACACAGTGAGATACACCACATGGCCTGCCTGCCTGCTGGGGAAGCTCAGCACAGGGGCTCAAGCCTGCAGGTGCAGCTCACATCTGAACCCTTCTCCAGAGCCTGCTCCTCCAACCCTGACCCCAGTCCTCCTGCTGGCTGCCCACAGCACCCCTGCCCTGCCATCCCAGAGCTGGATGCCCAAGCTGTCCTCCTGAAACCCAGACTTCCTCCAGTCCCTCCTGCCCAGGGTCCCTGTGCTGCCTTAGGCGACCTAGGGACCTTCCCTCGCTGGGTCCCCAGCCTGGATCCTCCCTCCCTCAGCCGGCAGACTCACAGGAGTGTCTCAGAAATTGTACCCTTTTGAAGGAGGGAGACTTCCCTTCAGGAATCCCAGTGCCCTCTGGGGCAACCTTAGTGGTCCAGCATCTCTCTTCCACATGTTTTAGCAAAAACAGGCACAAAGCCAGGCGCGGTGGCACTCGCCTGTAAATCCCAGCCACTCAGGAGACTGAGGCAGGAGGATTGTGAGTTCAAAGCCAGCCTCAGCAAAAGCTAGGTGCTAAGCAACTCAGTGAGACCCTGACTCTAAAATAAAATACAAAATAGGGCTGGGGATATGGTCGCGTGTCCCAGAGTTTAATCCCCAGTACCAAAAAAAAAAATATGGGCCTAAGCTCAAGCTCACACCAAGGAATTGGCAGTAGGCGGTAGGGTGCATCTTCATCTTCTGCTGACTGTTCTTGGTCCTGTGTGCAGCTCTGCATCCAATAAGCCTGAGGGGGGTGCAGATGGAGGGGCTCCTGAACACAGATTTTTGTCCAAGCTTCCAATATGGACCAGTGAAGAACAAATTTGGCTATTTAGGCTTAAAACAAAATTAGGCGCCTTAGCATCCCTAAGATGAACAATGTATAGGTAATTATTAAAATTTTAAACTTGGGTTTGACTTAAAACTTGCCACTTGCCTTCCCTAAGTGACAAGTCCCGCTGCTGGCTACTTGTGCGCCACCTGGTGGCAGAAAAGCAGAGCACGGCCCTTCCCTACCTGCAACTGGCCCAACCTGGTTCTGCCCTCTGTGGGGCTGGGGTGTGGAGGGGGAGGAAGGGAGACTCTTATCTGACTACGATGGTCTCCCTTCTGAGGGGCATGTGTTCCCCCTGACTCTTCTCAGAAGAGCTTCAGAGGTTTCTGGAGGACAGAGCAGTGCTGACGGTCCCTCACCTATAGTCCCCTGGACCCAGGTAAAGATGTTCTGCTCAAGTAGCTATTTTCTCCTTCCATGGCTCCCAAGCACAAGGAGGCCGGTCTCCATGCATCTTCCTCTCATGGGGGTCCCATCGCCCCTCCAGGTGGCCCTGTTGGGCAGAATCCTAGGTGATGCATTTGGTCCTCTTGGTGGGGCTCACATCTTGGGTGGGGGAACGTTTGTACCTCCCACAGCCCAACACCAGTTGGAGGCCATTCCTTTTATCTTTCTGGGTGTCTGGCTGAAAGCCACCCTCTGGCCTTTGAAATTTTCAGCCACTGATCCAAAAATCCCAGAGGGCCCACGTCAATCACTCCAGGTGGCCTGGGAGGAGATGGAACCCCCCACCTCCTCCCTCCGAAGAGGAAAGGATGGAATCAACAATCAACTCCCCCCCCAAAAAAAATCCTTAAAAATACTTTTTAAATTTCTAATTCCTGACCCTTTATGCCCTTCGCATGGATGAAGGCATCTAAGAGGCTCCTTGGGCACCTCCCTCGTGTCCTCTGCCCCGGTTGGCAGTGCCTTCGTGGTTCCACAGCTGCTGGGCCTTGGATCCTCAGCTAAACATCAGCTCAACATCCAGCTACACAAATGGTGCTGCTGTGGGAACTCTTTACAGTTTCCTTGTGCATCTGTGCCAGAGATCCTCTGCCTCACAGTGGGACCACCACTCCTCTAGGCCTGCACCAGTGCTGCCAGCTTCCTCCCGCCAGGGACCAGTGTGGGCGAGGCCATCGCCCCACCAACCACCCTTGGAATTGTCACTGCATATCATCTACCACATAAGATCAGTCCCTTTTTTGACAATGAAGAGGCAGAGGGTTAGTGAGACGAAGGCCCTGGCCCAGGTCACTCCACTGATCCACAGCAGAGTGAAGGGTAAGTCCCAGATGTCACAAGCCACCTCCTCGCCAGCATTCTCCGGCAGGTGTCTAGAGAGCACCCTTGAGGAGTTACTATGGGGTTCCAAATAAGGTTAGAAGTGTCCCGCACCCTGTGTTCACAAATGGAGCGGGACACACAGAGACTAGAGGGCCCGCGTCCCGGCAGAGCCTGGGCAGCTGCTGTAATGAAAAGGCACGTCCCCAATAGGCATTGAGTACTGGCCAGGTATGGCTGTCCCCATCCACCATCTTGGTAAATGGTATGGGAGAAGGCTGACCTGAAGCCTCGTGGGAAACGGCACCCAGGAACCCAGGGTCTTCGGCTCCCGCAGGGTCTGCGGAGAGTGCTGAGGCTGGCGCCTAAGGGCTCCGTCATTCCAGGGACCCGGCCAGTGCTCACAGTGCTGTGGGTTCCTCTGCAGCCGTCTTCCCCACCGATGTGTAAAACTGGGTAACTGGAGCCCTTTGGGGTACCGTGGCAGTGTCTCCGTCCCTGGATGAGAAGGACTCAAACCTCTCTTCTTACTCCTTGATGGGGGTTGCTGTGACAATTGGAGGCACAGAATGGGTGACACTGGGTGAGAACATGGTTAAACATTGTGGTTTGTAGAGCTGGATTGTGGCTCAGTGGTAGAGTGCTTGCCTAGCACGCGGGAGGCCCTGGGTTTGATCCTCAGCACCACATAAAAATAAATAAATAAAGGTATTGAAGTGGTACCCCTTTCTCCACAGAAAAGCCCTCTTCACCATGGCTGATTTTGGGACTGTCCACAAAAGAGTCTCTGCAAAAGAGCCCAATGTAGATAAACTTCCTATTTTCGTGTCACCCTGTTTACTTGACCACTGGCCGAGAAGATTCCAGCACTCCAGGTGCTGGACACCCCCTTACTAGTTTTCACAAACTAGTAAGTATAGTACTTTGAAGAAATGTGCAAACAAGGCCTCTGGCCTTGAGCTGGGCTTCACAGAGATGTCTACATTCTTAAGATAAGTTACAAATGGGCTCCAAGGTAACAGCTGGCAGGGGGAGGAAAGGAAGGGGAGAAGAAGCTCTCCCCTTCTCAGGTGTGGTCCTTGAAGAGTTAACGTGCACAGAACAGTGGAAGCAAAAGCTGCTTTTATGTGAACTTCTGCAGATTTGAACTTCCGAGCCCCTCCCCTTACACACTGGGTATAAAACTCTGAAACTCCCTGAACTCGGGGTTCAGGGGATTAATTGATTGCAGCAAAAGCTGTGCCCCCTGAACCTGGCTGCAGCCAAATAAAACTGTTTCCTGCTGTCTTCGGTGCCTTGCCTCGTGTGTCCATCTACAACTAAAAAAAATTTTTTTAAAATCGTAGTTTGTAACATTCGGGGCCCACTCCCCTCCTTACCATACCTTCACTAGGAAACTGCCAGTCTCCCTGTCACGGTGAGGCTGATGTCACATACTCTGTGACACCTTTGAGATTCTTTTGGCCACATGGGCTTCTCTGCCTTTTCGGTTCCCCCCCAGAGCCTGGCTCCTGAAAGGAGGGTGGGCTGAGATTGCCAAAGCCCAGCAGCTGCCCCGCCGCCCCACGACTGGAGCCCCACGGTGTTCCTCTGCCTGGTGTGGTTTATCTTACCGGGATGCACACAGCAACAGTCACACAGACAGCATCTGGTCATTGTCTGCACTGACAGGCGCCATGGGAGAAGACGGACACAGCCCTGCACTCCCGGACACTCACTGAGCTGTTGCCAGGCCGGGCAAGACATCCGCTGACCAGAAAGTGCCGTCAGATAAGTGGACGCTAATCCATAAGGGGGGGATGGGATGAGTGGCGGAGCTTTGGATGGGGCAAAGGGAAGAAGGGAGGGGACATGGGGGCAGGAAAGACAGTGGAATGAGACAGACATCATTAGGCACATGTGTGACAGCACGAATGGTGTGACTCTACTTCATGTACAAACAGGGAAGTGAAAAATTCCGCTCCATTTGTGTACAAAGAATCAAAGAGCTTTCTACTGTCATGTAGAACAGATGAGAAGAAAGAGAGAGAGAGAGAGAGAGAGAGAGAGAAAGAAAGAGCGGGCCATCAGAAACTCTGACCACAGGAAAGGCCTTTCTCTGATTCTGGCGAGGTCAGTCCTGCTCCCACTCCTTGCCAGGCTGAGGTGGCTCCAGGGCTCAGACATCATCTGAAAGCAGGGCGCTCAGGACAGCCCGAGGACAGCCAGCGTCCTCTCTACCTCCCTGGAGGTATTCCAGCCACCCCCGAGCAGGGCTGCTTGTTTGGGTAACTTGTAGAATGGCGGAGCGGCCCTGAAACTGAGGGGTGGTCTTGGGGGAGTATGCCCCGAAGTCTGTCCTGTGGAGCACCAGTCCACAGTGTCCAAGGACCCTGGTTGGAGGCACTGATTAAATATGTTAATGGGCATCATGAGTCCAGAGCAGCTGCCTGTCCATCCACCCACCCACCTCCATCCCTGCCTTTGGGCGGGGCACACCCTTCCACAAGTTCATGCTGTCCTGGCACTGTGATGCGACTGGCGACCAAGAAGCCAAGCAGAGTGTGCCAGGCGGAGGCAGGGGCCGGCGGTGACAGGCCACGGAGGCCCAGGCACTCGGGGAAGGCAGCCTTGAGCAGACTGTGCCATGGAGGAGCTGAGGCCCGAGTCGCAGCTCTCGGGGCGTGCCCCCGAGCGCGGAGGCCCTGGCCTGGCTGTCCTCACAGCCTTTCTCTCCTGCCCACCACTGCCAGCCGGGGCTGGGGGCAGCCTGGGGAGGTGCGGCTTTGCCCAGCTCTGAGGCACGGAAACAAAGATCTCAGAAGACAAGGATTTGCCCAAGGTCGGTGTGGCCTTTCCAGGGGTAGCCCCAGCTGCCCCAGTTTGTTTCTTTTTTATAAAATAAAGTGTATCGGCCTGGGGTTGTGGCTCAGAGATAAAGCGCTTGCCTCACACGTGTGAGGCCCTGGGTTCGAACCTCAGCACCACATAATGATAAGTAAATAAAACTGAGCTATCATGTTCATCTACAACTAAAAAATAATTTTTAAAGATAAATAAAGCTTATTGTATTTTTTCATGACAAAACCAATACATACTCTCTGTAGCAAATTAAAAACCAATCTCAGGTGTATTTCTTTCTTTCTTTTTTTATTTTATTTTTTTTTAGGTGGACACAATATCTTTATTTTATTTTTATGTGGTGCTGAGGATCGAACCCAGTGCCTCATGCATGCCAGGTGAGCACATTACCACTTGAGCCACATCCCCAGCCCCCCCAGGTATATTTCTACCATTCTGAAATAGCACTATTACTCCTTACTGTATTCCCTTTCTGTATTTTTTCTTTATGAGTTGATTTTGTGTTGTGTTTCTGTGGTCAATCTATTGCATGTATCATGTTCTATAACATAGGCATTTTCCCATGTCAGTATAATTTTGTTGAAAGTAACTTGTACCCACTACATAATGTGATGCCATGATTGATGTTGTACCTTGATGGTGATGGTGGTGATGATAGAAATGGTGGTGATGGTGATGGTGATGGTGATGATGATGGTGGTGATGGTGGTGATGGTGATGGTGGTGATAATGATGGTGGTGATGATAGAAATGGTGGTGATGATGATTGTGATGATGGTGGTGATGGTCATTGTGATGGTGGTGATGATGGTCATGATGGTGATGGTGGTGATGATGGTGATGGTGGTGATGATGGTGGTGATGGTGGTGATGGTGGTGATGGTGATGATGATGGTGGTGATGGTGATGATGATAGTGATGATGATGGTGGTGATGATGGTGATGGTGGTGATGGTGGTGATGGTGATGATGGTGGTGATGATGATGATGATGGTCATGGTGATGGTGATGATGGTGGTGATAGTGATGATGGTGATGGTGGTGATGGTGGCGATGGTGATGATAGAGATAGCAGTGATGGTGATAATAATGAGAAAAAATAATAAAAGCCATCAAGGACAATTTCTCCAAGACGTGCTGTCTAAAGACTTCTTCCGTTAACATTTAAACAGGCTCAAATCTTGCCCATTAAAAAGAAAACCTTCCAGGTTCATCCCTTATCTGCAGGGCTCTGTCCTGGGCTGCCATTTTTTTCTCCCTCCTTCTCCCAGGGCTACCCCATCACCTCCTAGGGTCTCAGTCACTTCTTCAACCCTGACAAAGCACAGGTCGACATTTTTGGCTCATCCTGTCTCTTGGCTTCGAACCTGTGTGCTCAGCAGTCCCCAGCACACATCCATCAGCTCACTCCATCGGTGCTTCAGTCTCTAGCCCAAAATGAATTAATCCACTTCTCCCCAGGTCCCTGTTCTCCATTCCCCCAAATGACCAAGCCAGGAATGTAGATGTCCCTCCCAGCCTTCTTTTTGTCCCACTGCCCATATCAGCAAGCCGCCAATAATAGTGACCACTCTGAAGGCATCATTTAGAGAGCGCTTCCCCTGTGCCAGCCATTGTTGGAAGGATGTAGACACAGACTCCTCCAATGTGCTCAATCTTGTTATCATCTGCTTTTTCCACAAATTTTAGTGAGTTTTCTATGAGTCACACAGCAAAGAAGTTGGGATTCTAAGCCGACCACTGCCCGGCTCTGCCTCTCCAAGATGGGAGGGTCTGTCCCACAGGAGCCATGGCACGCGTCCATGCACCTCTCCATTCCCCATGGGTGCTCCTCTGTCTCTGTCTTGGCCGGCCACCATCGTGCTGGCCTGTCCCCCTCCAGGGGTCCTGGGGGAGCTGTCCAAACTACCAATCCAACCATGTCACAGTCCTGCTTAAACTCATGCTTAAATGCCTTAGTGGCTCGTAGGAAAAATGCTCTTTCACCTTGTACTCAGGCTCTGGGTCCTTCTCTAGCTGCGTCTCTTTCTGTTTCCTCCTCAGAGCTTCTCCCTGTCCCTCTGCAGGGCATCCTCTCTTGGCCACCCAGGTGGTATCCGCTCTCTGCCCACCACTCTTCCTCCTGTTCCTGCTCATCCACCATAATCTTTATAATAGCTCGAAAGCCATTTCCTCCAGGAAGCCTTCCTGAGTGTCAAGTCTGGGTTCAGGTCTCTCCTCTGTCCCCACTGCTGCTGTTACTCCCACCGTCACATCAAAGTGTTGGTGCAGCTGCCTGGAGCCCATGTCTGCAAGCTCTGCACCTTGCTCCTCCTCCTGCTCCAGCACCTGGCCCGGGATGACAGGTATGTCCGTAAGTGATTGCCAAATACACCAACAAACACACCTGTGAGTGGCAGGTGGCCTGGAAGTCGTGCCACTCATTGCCCCAACCCCAAGGATCCTCTCCTGCTTCCAGAGTCTCACCACGGCCACTAAGGAGGCTGCAGCGGACAGCGCTGTCCACTGAGCCTTGCCTTTGGTTCAATTTGTGCCTCAGGCCAGAGGCCCAGAGGCGGAAAGACTGACTGAGAGGACAAGAACATCTCGGGGTCTCCTGATGGGTTTTGCAAAAATGAATTCCAAAATTATGGCAGCAATGTGCTAGGCTTTTTTCTTTTTTAGCAGATGACTCCTCTCTTCCCTTTTAAGAGCCTTCCTGGCGGAAGCTGCACAAAGCTATTTTTACTTAAAGGCTGTAAACCTCATCGTTCTTAAAGAGAAAGCCGGGCGCCTGTGTCTGCCAGCCTCCCAGGCTCCGCCAGCCCCCGAGCCACAGGGTGGTTCTGGGTCATGCAGGAAAAACAAGTTTAAATTAAGTTCCAAATTAAGTAGCGGTGTTTAAAAGAAGGACAACACAAGCACACAGACACACACACACACACACACACACACATCTCCATTCAAGGACTAAATTACAAACATCCTCTCTAAGAAATCAAAAAGTCATGAAGGTAAAACCAGAAGTCCTGGCAGCAGAGTTACACAAAGGCCAGAGCCAGAGGCGGCTGGGGATCATCAGGCTTTGGGACTTGGTTTCCTCTGTGATGGCTAGATCTGGGTGTCGGCTAGACTGGCTAAGAGACACCCAGATAGCTGGTGAAACAGGGTGTTTCCAGAAGAGATTAGCAACTGGTCAGGTGGGCCTCCCACAGCAGGCCTCCCCACGGTGGGCCTCACCAGCGGGCACAGTGTCGGAACAGGGTGACAGGGAGAGGAAGGGTGGATCTTCTCTCTGCCGAGCTGGGACATGTCTTCTCCTGCCCTTGGACATGGAGGCTCCTGGTCCTCTGGCCTCTGGACTCAGGTTGGGCCTTCTGCCTTCAGCTCCCCTGGTTCCCAAGCCCCAGTCTGCACTGGGATGTCACTACCCGCTGCAGACAGGCTTCTCAGCCTCCACAGTCACATGTGCTAATCCCTTACAACAAGTCTCTTCCTATATGTCTATATATATCATGCTTCTCTGAAGAGCCCTGGTTCATATAAGCAGCAAAACCTTCTCCAGAGAAAATTACAGGAAAATTCACTCATGATGTGACCAAGAATGTGACCACTCTGGCCAAAGCGGTCAGAGGGGACAGATACCAGAAAGTCACCCCATGCTCAACTTCTCCCTGATCCTGGCCACCTCTAGCTGCCCCTGAATCCACCTCCAGAGGAAAGCTAGACCCAGTGGAAGGCAAGAGCCCACCCAAGGACACACAGGCTTCTCGCCCTGTGTCAGGTTGATTCTCACCTGCTGTCCTGCCAGGAGCTGGGTCTTCATGGTCACGCTGGACAACCTTCTCCACGGAGGTCCTGACGTGGCCGGTATTCCCTCAATGCTTTACCATCCAGGTGCCCTAGCCACCAGTTTAGTTTTAGGATTCTGTCCAATTTAACATTTCTATTCGATTTTTAGTAAAAATCATTCATCTTGTGTAGACACTCAAATTTATTGAAATGAAAACTGAAATAATATCCTTTTACATTATTTCACTATTGATCCCTGTGACTACTTTAAGCAAAAATTATCTAAAAGAGTATTTCCACACTTTAAAGTGAATTTGTATCACATTTTGTACCGTCATTTAGGATTTCATTACACTCTAATAAAATTTCTGAACTTCAAGGATAACAAGAAACTCTCTACAGCATCTAGGCAGGAAAATCATATTACTTATATGCAAAATATGCCCCTCACCCATCACAAAATGCCCAGCCTCATGATGTAGGTTGTATGGCAAAGGGGAATTAAGATTGCTAATCAGATGACCTATATTAATCTGTTTTCTGTTGTTGTAACAAAATACTTGAGGTTGGATAATATTTAAAGAAAAGAGGTTTATTTAGAAGTTTTGGAGGCTAAAAGTCCAAACAGCATGGCCTTGTGAGGGCATCATGGTCAGAGAGTACGCAAGAGGGAGAGCTCTCATGGTGAGTCAGGAAGCCAGAGGGCAGGGAGGGGTCAGGGTTGCTCCTTTATAACAACCTTCTCTCAAGGACTAACCAGGGTCCCAAAGGAACCACCGCAGCACCTTCTGAGGACAACCACCTCCACAGCCTCCTTACAAACAGTGACACTAAGAAGTTGCCCTCTACAGGCGGGTACCTAAGGCTCCCTCCCACCCCAACCTGGCCATGCTTCCCCTCACTGGGTGCCCCCCTTTGAGCCACCCCAGCAGGAAGTTGAAGTCATCCCCAGTATGACTGCAGGGTCCCCTTCAAGATGGTGGAACTGCATCTTCTGGAGAGTCTTTTGGAGCTGAGGAGCTCGAGAGAGATGGAGTCAAAAGCAGAACCACAGGCCACCCTCGAGGCGTGGAAGGGGAAATGGGCCAGAACTAACCTGCTTTCCTGCCGCGGGGAACCAGGACACAGCAGGAACTCTAGTTTCTGGAGATGTCTGCACACGCAAACGGGGGCTTCCCCTGCCCTCCCGAGCTCTGTGTGGGCCGGGTGACACGTATGCAGGGTTTCTTCAGTTCCATGCTGGAACACACTTGGCGGATGTTGTGCAATCGTGTTTCTGGCCTCGAGAAGTCCACACGCTGACGAGCTTCCAGCAAGACAACCCTGATGGGGACAGGTGTGTGGGAGCCCCGAAGCAGACAGAGAATGGAGCCTTGGGCCCAGGGAAGGAGGTGCTGAGTGCCGGGGCAGAGGGACTGATCTGCCTTTGGTCGGGCCGTGGGCTGGGTGTGAGAGGAGCTCCCCAGCCATTGAAGGAATGGCTGAAAGGAAACAGGGCATCTCAGGGAACAAGTGTTGGTGACAACCGAATCGGGCAACAGGATCAGTGTCAAGAATAAAAAAAGAGGTACAGCGGCACAGTTGGTCCACGACTCCCCTGACACATCTGTGCGGCCTAAGCGTGCTTTGCTTCAGACTCTGGTGCGAATTAGAAATTCACTGGTGCTAGTTAATAGGAACCAGACACGGTGTCACTGGTGAATGATCAACAGCACAGTTTCTTTTGATTATTTGTGGTTTTGATCTGGCAAATGCTAAGCAATGGGTCCATGGGTGTCTTAGTCTGTTTTCTGCTCCTCTAACAAAATGCCTCAAGAAAAGGTATGTCTCACAGTTCCAGAGGCTGGGAAGTGCAAGAGCATGTACTGGCATCCAGTGAGGGCCTGTTTGTGCCATGACATAATATGGGGAAGAACGCAGAGCAAGGAAGCCCAAGAGACAGAAAAGCAGGCCAAACTCACCCATTTATCAGGATCGCCACTCCCCAGAAAACTAACCCACTCCCAGATAACTACCCACTCTTCTGTTACCAGGCTAAATGCATTCAGGAGGGCAGAGCCTCATGACCTAGTCACCTTCTTAAAGTCCCACCTCTTAACAAGTTACAAGCAGTTGAATTTCCACATGTGCTTTGAGAGTACCCTGAGATCATAGCAGTGCGGCTGGCTCCTCAGCAATGGTCCCAGGCTGGAAAAGACACAGGGAGGTTGTCCAGGGACTGCAAGTTCACAAGCTACATGTTCATCTGAGTGACCTCTTGGAGCTTCAGTTTCACCTTCTGGACAAGGAGGTTAGATGGGACACCCTTGAAGGACTTTTAGCCCTACTAACTCTCTGTGACTCTGAGACTGATCTGAGCCTGGCAGATGGCAGGCACCATCTCTCCTGCCTCCCCACGTGGAAGAAATCTAGTCCACGTGGGAACCACGAGTAGCCAGCCTGGCCAGGTGTCTGGCACCCAGGCACATCAGACTCTACCCAGGAATCTTTTCCAAATCCAGGGACTGGTGGCCTCCAGAAGTTAATCATTTGGAAACCACATGCTTCAAAAATGTTAACGTTTCATAAGTGTTTTCTTTTTATCAGAAGAACGGGAAACATGAATTCATCTTCTCTCGGGGAATAAAGACTTTATTCAGTAAATGTGGAACACGGGGAGTAGACTGGTTTTAAACAATGTATTGTTAAGGAAAAGGCGAAAGAGAAGCAAGAGCCGGTACTGCAGAAGGGTGGGAAAACCATTCTCAGATGTCCTCTGACGTTGGTCCCTCAACTGATCCTCAGCAATACCTGCAAGATGGGTGTTAGGAGTCCTGCCTGCCAGAGGAGAAATGAAGGCTCAGAGGGTTTGAGCCACAGGATTACAGTGTGGAGCCCCTGCCTCTCCAAGCATCCTGGGGCAAAGCTCAACATGGATTCATGGGGAAGCAAGGCACAGGATGGGCTGTGTGTGGCCCCCATCGGCCTCCCCCAGCCCTGCTCGCAGTTCATGAAGCCCTTTGTTGCACAAACATTTCAGGAAAAGACTTCTCTCAGAGCCAGACACAACTAATTTCATGCATTTGCTGAGTGATGTTGGCCCACGCTTCCCTTTTCAGTGGTCCCTCCCCTTTACAGTAGTCTGCAGGGAAGGTTGACAGAGGAGGTATGACCCTCACTTTGGTCCCAGTGTTTCATGGCAAATCTGCCATTGACATTTCCCCACAAATGCTCTTCGAAGCCACAGACTCCAGGACAGCATGGAAAATGCATGATCTGGAGGTCAGAGGGGGCCTCATGTTGAAAGAACATCAGTAAGACAAACTGGAAACAAAGAGGTCTGTATCTGGGGTCTTTACACAGGACTTTGAGATGCGCCAACCAGAGGTAACCCTGCTCCTCCAGACCACACCTGGGATATCTCCAGATGACCCAAGGCTTGTCTATTTTAGCAACTTTTAGGATGCTACAAGATTATTCTATAACAAAGAGATCAATCCTGACCCTGGAAAGAGAGGAACAAATGAGGTCAGCAGGGCTACAACCTCAGGGTATGCTAACAGGACTGTAGAAGATCAAGGCCCCTTTCAAGTTTGATGACTCTGGGTTCAAACAAATATGGGAAGGGAAGTGGAGCTGGGACAAACCATTGCTAAGGAAATACCATGACCTGTGCACAGGAGGGAGGAGCCTAACTGGAGCCTGTGAGATGACGTTCAATTCCAGCCAACTAGAATGGACTGGGCACTGGGACTTTGGGTCAGAAAAATGCTGGTGTGAGAAGGGCTTCACCATTCCCTGTATCTTGAGCAAAACCCATAAGTCATACAGCTTCTTCTCTATCTGGACCAGGAATAAAACAGTGACCCTTCACTGTCCTAGTATATGCCACCCACTACCAGACACTATATATGCTCTTGTGTAGAAAACACACATGCACATGCACACTCACATATGTACATGGCAATGTTCAAAAAGCACAGCCAGCTGTGTCTACTTACTTGAAGGTGGCGAGTGAGACCCAAAAGGGTTTGAGGTCTTGAGCCAGTAATGAAGAAGGATCACTACCCTTTAGGAAGGATGGGGATTTAAAACCCAGAGAAAAACCTGGACGACCCAAGTGATGCTGTGTGTTGTGAAATGTGAATTTTTTCACAGGTTGTGGTTTTGGGGTGCTAGGTGGGGGCTCTTGTTGAGCGGGGTGAAGTCCTTCAGATGTTCATATGTCCCAAAGGTGAATCGGCCAGGTCCTGCCTGGGATCCATTTTACGAGTGAGTCATCTGTTGGTGACCTTGGCGCCCCTTGGATCTGGGGTGCCCCGAGTGCTAGCAGGCGAGGTGCATTGCAGGGCAAGAATAGTGGCCCCGCCCCCCCCCTTCACTGTACTCTGAGAATGAGCTCCACGTGCTGCTGGCGTCCCGCCCTCCCTGGCCCCGCCCTGGCCACGCCCCTCACTGCTCTTGGAAGCCCCGCCCTCCGCGGCCCCGTCCACTGGCTTTGCGGCCACGCCCCTGGCGGCCCGAGGCTCCGCCCTCTCAGAGGCGCGGACGGTGGAACCCCGCGCCTTTTGTGTGGAGCTCCGGTGCTGCGCGCGCTCATCCACCTCCGCCGACGCACGCGTGC